CACACACACACACACACACACACACACACACACACACACAAAATGGTGTACGTACAGAGGTGTGCATGCCCTTTCACACACACAAGACCTGCACACGTCTCCCCCCTCCGAGTCACAGGGCAGTCCCCTCACAGCTGGCTGGAAGAGGGCATGACACTCATCTTTCACAGAGATTTGATCAAAAGGAATCACAAAGGCTGGAGGCTCTCCTAATGCAACCAAGGAAGACTCCCCCCCACACACCACCACCACCACCACCACCACCACCACCCCACCTCCCATCTCTGTCTGAGTAATGCTCTAAATCAACGCAGCCCCTATTGGTGCACACAGCCCAGTGTGTGTGTCTGGATTCACCTTAACACAGCGCTGAGAACAGGCTCCATAACAAGTTACGCCTTGTGCCGCCAGGAATGTGTTAAGTGTCTTCCCTTTTTTTTTTTTTTTTGAGTATTTCTCAAGAAAAGGGGGACTTCGCTCAGGACCAAAGCCTAAATATGACTTATCTTTACGAGTACCTCAAAGTGACAAAATGCCAAAACAAAGCAAAATCTGTTCATCCTGTGGGACTGTCAGATACCACTGACTGACATTTGTGGTCAAGAAAACAATACATGAAGCAAAGCAAAAATAATTTAAAATAAACTAAACTATATTACAGGTCAAGCAGTTCTATGCCTATCCCCTGCCACCTTTTATGTCAGTGTTTTAAACTAAGGTCATCTTAAGTTAAGAGATGACAGAGTTAAGAGTTGTTTTAGTCAATTCCTACAAAAAAACAAAACACAATCTCTTGCAAAGTGTTGGAGTGTGTGACGGGGTGAATCTCAGTTACTACCACATCATATTTTTTCTGAATATCTGTAAATCTAAAAGAGTTACAGCGAAAAGCTGTGGCAGCCCTCTCAAATTGGATTGACTCCAAAACGTAATCTGTTGTATGTTTTATTAAAATCCTCTCAATGGGTCACAAGTTATTTTGCTAACAGACAGCATTAGCATTAGCCCTCAGAACACGAGCTGGGACTAAAGCTCAGCTACTAGGGGTACAACAATACATGTACCCATATCGAACCGTTCAATACAGTGCTTTAGGTTCAATACACACTTGTTTCGAACAATACAGATGTTTAAAATTTATTTAATCAACTTGTCTTCTGAAGATGCTCTGTGTTGAAGGATCAGTGGATCTGTGTTCGACTACTCCACCTAGGCTGCATTTTTGAGCGCAGATCTACTAAGAAACTTATTGTTTCAGTAACATTTAATTTAAAAACTGCATTTTGAGGTTAAACAAACATTCATAATTAATTTAAATAAATTACAATTTAAAAGGGCATGAAAATTTTTCTTTTTTTGTATCGAAAAAATATCGAACCGTGAGACTAAAGTATTGAATTGAACCGAATCATGAATTTTCTATATCGTTGCACCCCTGTCAGCTCAAATTTTAGTTCAGCTGTAAAACTGCCTAACTTATAGCCATCTTTGTGTTTGATAAGATTATTTAAGTTGATGATGTGGCTTCAGTGATTTCTTTCTGAGTTTTATTAAAATTGAATTTAAATTAAATTTTATGAAATGTTTCAGCAAACACAGAGACAAAAGCATTATTTTCTGTTTTTTGCCTTTCAGCGAAATGTGTTATCAATCTATTGGCCAAACTTTTGTCTTACGTGAAACAAATCTTTTTGCAGCAACAAATACAAAGTGTTCCCTCAGTGAAAAGTTAAGTTTATGGTGAACAAACTCGTAGATAATTCAAAGGGCAGATTCTTTGTTAAGACATTTGCTTCTCATACAAAAAAAATAAAGAAATAAATTGCCACAGACCAAACATTGCACAATAAAGCACTGACTCAAGCATAATGTAAGATAATAAACTGTTGTGAACTAATAACAGTGTGCAATGCACACAGTGGCAGCAATCAGAGCAGTTAACGTATGTGAGCCATAAAGCAATCAGCCGTAGCACACATCAGCTGATTTAGCCCCACATAGAACCATTTTATGTTATTTAAACAAGCTGAGGGTTTCAGTGTCCACTGGAACAAAGTGTGACTGGATCTTTGGAAAATGTCATCGGACCCGAGTGATGTCTGGGATCAGGAACGTTTGGGTTCTGTGGGTGGCAGGCTGGGCCTATGCGGATCAGTCCTGTTCTGCTGCGCTCAGCGGATGACCAAGAGGATTGGAATCTGGAAGCTTTGGGGGGGCCGGCCTCTTCGCCGTGTTCCTTAAGTTGTTCCTGAGCAGAATGTGGTGTAACATGTTAAATCGTCCTCCTGAAGAGGCCATCCTGGTTGGAAAAATGTTTAGTTGGGAACCATTAGTCACTTAAACGCCTCTTTGTGATGCAAGTGTTGTGCAAGTGTTGTTTAGTGCACGTAGTGGGTGTAATGTTGTGTGTTCCATCCTGAGTATTTTAACTCTATAAACACAATTTAATTCAGAAATAAATTCCATTAATCAAAGTCTTMTTTTAGTGTGTGACAGTAAAAAAACTACTCTTAACAGTAACAGCCTTTTACCATGGGCTCATTCTTTGGTTGATTCAGTGATAAAACCAAAACCAGCTTGGTAAAACGAGGGCTTTAGGAATGCAGCCTGTTAATGTGATCACCAAATCCTGAACATGGACTGTCTTTTAACTTTCTGCACCTTAAGTCCAGTACTTATAACATCTGCAGATCCCTGCCAGGTTAGCCTGGTCATAGCCTTCCTACGCAGTTCTGATTGATTCTAATCTCCCTTCTCTTCTCCATCTGGACTTTCACTAAATTTGTCTCACAAAGCCTGCAGCACTCATTTACAGCCATCTCGTTTGGCTCGGTACTTCTCTCTCGGGATGATTGTTTACAGCGCACGCAATTTCCGGTTAGTTTCTAAGCTTAGCTTCCTTCACAGTCGAGCTGGTGCACTATATACGTCACGGCCAAACGTCAG